CATGAATATGGACATGGATATCAACGATCCCCAGAGAATTATTCATAATGATTGGATAGCTTCTTTAACCTTTTATCCTAAGCCACCATTAGGCAACAATTTACCTGTGACCTCATAAACAAATTGCCAAATTTCTACTCAATTTGTTGTGGAAATGCATATTCCCTAAATGATGATCCATAATGATTTTGGTATCTTTCTGAGCTTTTGTTCTAGCATCAGGTTGATTTACCCACGACACAACATGACTATATATCTTGAAAGTCACTGGCCGAATTTCCAGTAAATTTGCTGTGAATATTTATAGTCCACAGGGGTTGATTCGTAATGATTTTGGTGACCTTCTGACCTTTCTGACACCCCCATCAGGTGGTCAGATATAATTTCTGCTTATTCGCAAGAAATCTAACGGGCAGATTGCTCCACTATAATTCTCCCCAGAGGATGATTTTTTTCCATTTACTCAGGTCCAAACTTTTTTTTTCTGCCCGATAGAAAGAAATTGTCCTTTGTGTATTGTGCATATGCTAATACATCTTTGAGGCATCATTAGTTGCTTACTGTTCCAACAAACTCCAAGATATTTGTTTTGTGTCAGTGTAGATAGCACCCACATTCCCCACCAGGACTGTACTGAAAATCTTCCCACACCTCCACAGCAGGCGGCATCTGTTGGGAGGAGATCCCCAGCTGCTCTTTCTACTGGTTTTCCAACACATGGCTGGTCTCCACTGGCTGTTCCCTGAATATGGCCAATTGTCTGTGAAAACAGTCCATTGATAATGGATATCTGCCACCCCACTACTGACGCACAGATTACTGGGCTGATGGAACAATCAACAGGGGCAGAAGATGTAGGCTTATTTGTCTTTGCCTTGCTTCTAGATACAGTTGTTTGAGCCCATTGTGCACTCTGATTATTCTGAGATTTCAAATACAAAGCCGGCGTGTTGTCTTACCTGCGATTTATTCCTCTCAGCATAGTTTTAGAACAGAATTTTTTCACAATTTCCCATCCCTAAGGTCCCAAAATTGATAAACAGTACATTTTATCCAATCCTTATTTTCTTTTTGGTTATAGTGGCTCTTTACACATTATTTTTCTATACATTTTTCAATTTAGTAGAGTAGTCTTTGAGGTGATAACAATGATATATACCTAACTAAGGAAGTATTCCAGCAGCAGTGGTACTTTTTGTGAGAACTAGCCTAATATAGACTACTTTTTTTTATTAATTTGTACAAACATGGCCTTACTTTTCATTTTCATCTTCTCTAGATCTCAGTTACTGCCAGAGACTGCGGAGGAAGCTTTTAAAGAGACACTGCATTGTTGAGTTAAAGGTTAGTTTCTTTCCCTTTTACCAATTGACACACAGAGGTGGTTGTGGGATTCCATTATGCTGTGTTTATGTTTATCATATTTCATTTTTTATTTTTCATTGAGAATTCCTCAAGACCTAAATTTAATGGAGCAAGTGTATTAACCCCTGCTGAATGTAATTATTTTCATTTTACCCCTTTAACACTTTTGCTATAAACCACCTCAAATCTTGTTGGGTGCACTTCTAAATACAAAATAACTACAATGACAGCTTTCTGGGTGAGAAATTAGAATATTATATATTATACGAATATATTCTTCGGATGGTAGGCATGAGGATGGAAGATGATGTGTCACAACCTTTTCTACACAGTCTACTTGGAAAAAAGTTATTTGCTCTGTGTCGAATTACTGAAGCTGCTTGGTTGTATATTTTGCTGGTTTGATTAAAGGTTATTTGACTGGAACATTCTCAGCCCAAACCCAAAGTTTCTGTACTGTAAACTCACAAAGAAGCTGACGCTGTGAATATATGAGTAGAAAATTAGCAAGTCTGCTTTGACCCTTGAGGACACTGCTGCTACTCGGAGGACCAGTTTATGGATGCACCTGCTGTTTAGATGCAGTGTATGGAAAAACCAGCGAGCTGTCAGTTATGCAGATTGTTCTCTGGGAACTGTAGCCTTCACAGTGTGACAATGGATTACTTATGGGTCCAACACATATGGGTAGAATAGTGTCTTATTGATTTGACCTTATAGCAGAGGGGAATAGATTCACAAGATGACTGTACACTACATCCACCTGTCGTTGTACAAGCCGCGTTATCAGGAGAAAAAGAAAAACAAGATGAATCATGTGTCGCCTGGGAATCTGATAGCAACTGTTTCTCATGCTGAAAACCGAGCACAGAGAAGGACTTGAGACTTTGTTGTTTCATATCAGCACTTTCCCACATGTTGATATGGAAATGTGTTAAATTTACATGTACAGTGTTTAGTTGGAACCGGTGGTCCTCTTACTTACATACAGTATCCTGCTTTAATGGCCAATAGAAATTTTTGGTTGTGTGCGATTTGTTAGTAAGCAGTAAACTATTTTTGTAAATCACAAACTTTAAAAAAAAAAAATGCTAGTTGCAAACTATCGTACTAACCACTACTGGTCTTACTAGCCATCCTGGCTGTAGTAGTTTTATTTTCCAGTGTGGTGAAGGAGAGTCTTTATTCAAGCTGACTTTGGCTTATGGGTTTTGATATAACCTGATTTTTTCATTTGTATTTTGTTGTGGATCCAAACCTGTACAATCCTCCCTGCTCTGTCAAACTCCATCCTCTCACACCACACTTCTATGTTAAAGTCTGTATTCAAGCGCCAACGCTGGTTCAGGCAGGGTTCAGTGGCTATTTACTGAAGCATTGTGAGTGATTCTGGCCTTGTTAAATCCTATTTTGTTTGGTGAGTGTGGAGCTCAGCCTCCTCCAGGCATGTGAAGGTGGAGGACGAAGCCGGCGTGCCGACTGGGGACCCAAAGAGCAGTCCAATTTTTCATCCTTATTGCCCGTGACATATCCAAAGTGGCAGAGTGCCGTCCGCGGAGAGACAGAGGAAGGGAGAGAGAGGGAGAGAAAGTGAGAAGCATGCAGCTCAGATGGAGTGAGAGGAGTGTATCTCTACTTCCGCCTTCTGTAGTCCTGAGCAAGGCCCCAATTTTCTTTGCTAAAACAATGCCATTCACCAGTCTTCATAAGGGCAGACAAGGTTAAACTAAGAGTCCCAAGGTTCCTGCCTCTCTATAACTTACCCCACCTTCAGGCATTTAGTTTAGCCAGAGAATAAATGCAGGTTTGAAGCTTACAAACAGAGAGTAAAGAGTGTATTAAAATCCAACTAACTCCTTGACACTAACACCAACCCTCTACCCCTAGCTTTCACCATAGCTTTCTGCAGGACTGAGCTTCCATTGCAAAGGCCTATTTTTTCTCAGGGATGTCCAGTGACTTGTCATATTGTTGAAACCATCTGTCATTTTAATCACATATAAATCGCTTGTCTGTGTGTGTGTAATTTATGAAACAATTCCAGTGCAAATGATGTACTGTATTATGATTAAGACCTGTGATGATAAGAATTTTGTGCCAATCAAGTGTCTTGATTTTAGTTTTTTGATGTGATTTCAGTCTTAATTGAATAAACAAGACTGAGATCTGTTCTGTCACATGCAGGCAGTGTAGTGATGGAGGGCTGTGAAGGGCACTGTCAAGGTGACTTCTCAGGGTGGCGAATAGGGGAGGTGGGATCTTTTGTTGGAGGGTGTGACTTCAGAGGAAATTTTTTACGAGGGAGATTTCCCCCCACTTTTATTCCACTTTCATTCTCACGGTTGAGATTAAGATCTCTTGTTGTAATTATTGCTCTGTGAGGCGGCCTAATTCTGCCAAGTCGATAGCATCACACCCGTCAGGTGCTATAGAGGGTATCTGGCACCAGCTGTTCACGTCCTCTACATGTTCCAGTGGGCTGCAGTGGATGGTAATGGCACTGTTATGTGATACATGTCTGTTGATCGACTTGCTTCTGGAGAGCTGCCAATCCCCCACCCCTTTGCTCCCCTCCAGTGACCGCAGAAAGTAGACAAGAAGAAGAAAAAATGAAAAAAGACAAAAAATAAAAATAAAAAGGAAAACCCTTGGGTGTCTGGTATTTTTAAAACACCTGATGTACAATAAGGGCATCAATCATCCTCCACAATCCCAAGAAGCGTATGTCTGGCTGCCCCCCGCCCCCAAACACAGGTGCTTGACAGACAGAGTCAATTCTGCCTAATGAGCAATTGTGTTGCCATGTACTGTAGTATCTGTTGTGCACAGCAAGGCACGGTTCCAACCAGACTGCTTGCATCAGCACGCAGACAGAGTACATATCCACCCAAATAACTTTTGTCAGTATTCATATCTCATAAGCAAAGTCTCTCAAGAAGACAGGTTTCCTGTGTAGGTACTAGACTAACACCCAGCTGGAATATAAGCACTGAGAGAGAGAAATATAGCTGGAAAATGCAGTCTAGCCCAAAATATCTCAACTAACCAGTTATTGCTGGTGACCCCTTGTTCAGAGCAGCCATAGCTGTTGTCAGATGGAAAGCCACTATGTTAACCTTTTTAAAAAGCTGAATGAATACATGAAATTATCTCACTTCTATTTTGACAAAAAATGTATTTTAGTTACCCAACTCTGCTAGTAAAATAATCTTTTTATAATTGAAGTCCAATCGCAAACCTAGAGCTGAAATGATTAGTTGATTAACTGATTGTCATAAAATTAACTGGCAATAATTTGATAATTGATGAATTGTGTTAAAATGATTTTAAAATAAACATTTAATTGGTGTTTTATAACACCATTTATATATATGTGTGTATATAGCATTTAATATGCCCTATAGTCGTGTACAGCTACATTATAGTGTGTCATAAACCACTGTGTACTCAATGTGCTTATAATAACTAAACAGAGGGACTTAAAGTAAAGTGTTATGGGAGGATGGGGAATGGAATATCTTTACTACTACACTAAAGGTTATATGAATTAATCAAGAAAATCATAATTAATCCATAATGGAAGTAAACATAGTTGCAGCCCTACTCCAGTCTACTCTATTAGATAATTCCTTTTCATTAAAGCTTACACATGGATATTCATATTTATGGAAATTTCCTTCCAATATGCTAAAATCTGCACTTTCTGCCGCAAACTTATTAACAGCATGGCAATTCTTGAATGACAGATTAGTTTAAGTGCTTGTTTATAAAGCAGTGCATGCATCTTTTATTAACATCTAAATATCATTGTGGATATGACAACTGACAACTTTGCAGAACTTTCTTCTTTCATTTGTTGATGCTATTAAAATAAGTTAGTAACCAAGAAACACTGTCTTTGCACTGAGGGCCTGCATATGTTTATTAAAGGGTTTAGGTATCAATAACAGGACAGTTATTAAAAAAGGTTAAAAGAATGATGTTTTGTACATAGACATAGGCCCCATTAGTTGTTAGTTGCTTAGTTAAATACTTAAGATGTGACAGAGAATAAACCAGCTCACTACCAGTCACAACAAACAATTTATTTCACAGGAGGACCTACCAGAAGGTTTTTGCCTGAGTAACTGAATTAACTCAGACACAATGATCTGTTGCCTTCCCTTGGCAGTGGAGTAGGATCATTATTTTAGTAGACTGTCATTGGGTTCACCAATACAACTGTGGGTGTTTAAGATAAGAAGAAAGAAGTCGCTTTCATCGTACAGCTTGAATGATTCAAAGGAAATGAAAAGAGACAGTATGGCGAGAAAAATCAATTAATTTCTTTATGGCAGGTAATTATTTACTTGGTAATAATGTTTTTCAGTCAGACTACTATCTCTGGAGGATGATGTTGGTCTGTTTAAACATGAAGTGGTTTGGTTGAGTTTGTGTGTAGGTCCCCACGTGTGTTGAAAGTCTGCATTCATATGTCGGTGTGCATTTGTGTTTGCATGGATGCTTGTGCAGCCTTCAGGTGGGTTTGGGATGTTATCTTCCTGCTGCAGCTGATGGATCCATTGAACTCATAGTGGAGCAGCTTAATGTTGGGTGACTGTCACAAATGAATGACCAAATTTAAAATAACAGTTGCTGACAAATCCGAAGCTTTAGCGGCATCAAGATGAATTTAGTGCATAGCTTAATGGGGCTTTTAGTGGATAATTTGTATTTAAGTATCGTGTTGGACATTGCTCTTTCTTAATACCATAGTTAAGAACTCAGACTTTACATGTGAAGTGAATGTGAGATTTCATTTCTCCTTGGGAGTTGTTGTTGGCGTGTTTATATGTCAGTTTGAGCAGAAGAGCAAGTGCTGTTGAGTGGTGGATCGTGACTTTCCTGCCTGTGTGGGAGCTGCTGCTACTCCCACGCATCTCTCGGTCTCTCTTTTCTCTCTCTCCAAATCCACTGGTCTTTAACCTCAGCTCAGTTCT